ACTTTGTAGGAACATAAATAAGATAAAATAAAGTAGAATAGAAAAATAAAGAATATAGACATATGTACAAGGGAGTTAGGAGTTGATTTTAGTAAAAATGACTTTAAGAAAATAAGAATTGATACCTACAAAGGATCAATTGCCAACCACTGTCAGAATCAGACCCTAAGGCACGAAACCATGCACCTACGGCAATTTCAGGGTTCTTTTGCAAATCAAAGTATATAATTTGAGAGAACACTTCATAGGGTTTCTTTGAGCATTTTTTTTGAGCAATTTGAATTTATAATGACTTTGTAAGAGCTTTGAAAAGTCAAGTTTATTTTGGGTAAATTTAATTTTGTGAAAAAAAAAACAAAAAAAAAAAACAAAACAAAACAAAACAAAACAAAAAACAAAAAAAACAAATGGCTTTTGGAAGAATTTATTGAGTTGATAGTAGATCTATGAGTGGAAATTTGTAGGTTTATGATTAAAGCTTTTTTTTATTGCATGTTGTAAATTTGAGTATGATTGAATGGTTATATTAAAGGTTATTGAAGTTTAAGTGGGTTGAAGTCTCAAAAATGGGATTTTGAAGATTAGTAAGGGTTTCTAAGATCTTTAGAAATATGCTAATTGGATTGAAATGAAATTTTTTTTATAAATAGTAGACTTGATTTCTAATAGATATGTGAATTTTGAGAGATATTTAATATATGAATTAAGAGATTTTGGCTTGGAAAGATTGGCATCAAGATTGGAGAAGGAAGATGGCCAATACTTGAGTGGATTTTAGGATTTATCTTCTATTTGGTAAGTTCGATCTTTTTAAAAATATTTATGCTTATTGCCAACTTAATTGTTGAGATGTTTGCAAATTTTGAGTTGAAATAATTAGTTTGATTATTAGTTATGGAAGTTTCAATCTGCCATAGGATTTATTAAGAATTTGTTTATGATTTAGAATTGATTTAGGATTTATGGTTTAGGATTTTGATTAGGATTTGTTTAGAATTTGTCTAAGATTTGATTATGATTTATTTAAGATTTGTTTGGAATTTGATTAGAATTTATTTAGGATTTGAGTAGGATTTGACTAAAATTTGTTTAGAATTGGATCAGAATTTGATTAGGATTTGTTTAGGATTTGTTTAGGATTTGATTAGTATTTATTTAGAATTTTTTTAGGATTTAATTAAGATTCAATTAGGATTCAATCATGATTTTTTTAGGATTTTTTTTATATTTCTTTTATAACTTATTCGGAAATTTAATTGGACTTAATCAATATTTGATTATATTTGTTAAATTTTAATTGCAATTTAATTATGATTCTATTAGAGTTGTTAGGACTTGCTATTGCAATTTTCTTCTATCTTCCATAGCTAAGTGCCTGATGCATTTTCAAGTAAGATTTCGCATAATACAACAATGTTAAATGATATCAAACACCTTTTGGAAGTTATCATAAATACTATTTGGTAAATTTTGAAATTTATTAATTTTTAATGTAAAATATACTATATTTTTACCTTATTAAATAAATCAGAAATAATTTTAAAAATATATATGCTACTTAAATAAATAAATAAATAAAAATAAAATAATAAATTAGATATATAATAAATCTATTAATTTTTTTAAATATTTTTTTGAAATATAAATTTTAAATAAAATTATATTGTATGCTATAGTAAATTTTTTATTAACTTATTTATTGCAAGAATTTACTATAAAACAATCTAAAACTTACATATTTGGTCTAATTACTTCATAATTATTGAAAAAAATATTACATGGCTTTTTTATTATTTAGTATATATAAAAGTAAGATTATAAAAAAAATGGTTTTAGTGATATTTTTTATATACTTATGTCTTATTTTAAGATTTTACAATTTATGTAAATTTAACTATAGTTATTTTAGCGTTGTAATACTTTAAAATTTTTTTCTTTTTTTTTCTTTTTTTTCTTTTTTTTCTTAGGTATGCATGTATCTATTTTTATTCTACATGCATATTTAGATTTATATCTTTGATATTATATGTTTAAATTTAGTACTTCATGATATAATATATATTAAGTTATTTTTATATAATTAAGTTTAAAACTTTGAAGTACTTATTGAAGCTTATTGTTTGAGGCTTTAGTGATATGTTGTAAAATTTCTTACAATAAAACCTCTAAAAAAAAACTTTAATATATAATTTATTTTACAAAATAAAAAATTAATTTTTTAAAATATCTATGCAATTTAAGTTTTTATTAGATATTTTGAAGAGGTTTCAAAATTACTTAAATTTTAAAAAAAGTTATCTGAGTTTCTTAAATATATAATATAAATATTTAAAATATCTAAAATGCAATTGAAATATAATACTATTATGTTTATATATATATATATATACATATTAATGATTTTATATATAATTCATATTTTAAAAATAGTAATTATATATATGTATATAAAATGAATAATTTTGAATAATAATATTAATTATTATAGTAGTATTAAGGAGATTTTTAAAATTTTATAATTGTATTACAGATTAATTGTAAGAAATCTTTGTTAAAATCAGAACATTAACTGATATTTTTGAAGTTATTAAACATGATTTTATTTTAAAAATTATACTATCTTGAATAGATTATTAAAAAATAAAAAACATTCAGATGTAATATTATCAAGAAAAGAAAGTATTAATATCAGGATTATTGAGTAAAGACAATGTATAGCATAAGAAGATAATCAATTATTTAAAAAGTAATAATTCATGGAAGGTTGTCCATTATTGAAAGCTAGATTTTAATGTACAAAAAAAATTATTATATAGCTAAAGAAATGTTTTTTTATCATTTGATCATCTCATAGTTTTTTAAATTTAAAATTATTATCAAATTTTATAATTGTTTTTGTTTCGATTTTCAATTTTTTTAAAAGTAATAAAAAAACAAAAAATTGTTCCAACTAAAGTATGTGCAACTTGTTTTCAAAATCAACAACATTTCATGTTCAAATTTGATTTTTAGATAGTATCCAGAAGATGTGACAAGTTCACACTGAGTAAAACAAAATATAGTGCAGATCGTTTACAAAATCAATGCTGACATGTCAATGAAAATAAAATCTACTAAAATATCTCTTAGAGTATTTATTAGGACATCATTGTTTGTGCTTATAAGATCCTTAAAATGAAAGCCAAGAAGGTGAAGTCGATCACATTTGAGTGTTGAAAGTCTTGCAAAATAATCCGCACTTACCAAGCAGTACTGCCGTAATAATAATAATAAAAAGAGGACTTCAATGCCTGAATCTCTGACATGGTTTGTTTGTTATATGTGCTGGGAATTCCTCATGACTTGTGAGAGTAAATTCGGTTGTGTTTTGGTCGGCATCTTTGAGGATTGAGTGTGATTGTGTTGTGCATGGAGATTTCGGTCTCGCTATTGTCGCAATAAAAGTGGGTTTTTTCGCGGATTCTGTAGGTCGTTTTAGAATTCAACTCTGGATTGACAAATGATTACCGCTGATGTTTCGGCGACGGTGGATTTGTCAAAGCGATTTGTGTGTGTCTCCTGCTTGTCTTTGTCTAAAATAAGTGCTTCCAGTTGACATTTCATTATCACATCGATAAACGTCAAGAAAATGATGCTGAAAGCAGAATCTGAACCCTAAATAGAAGAAAGAAACAAGCTGTTGAACTATACGAACTTCAATAAAAAGAGGACTTCAATGCCTGAATCTCCGTCATGAATCCTGCTCCCTTCTAATCCCCCCCTGGATATGTTCGCGACGTTGCAGTTTTCAAGCGTGTATTCGAAGCAGAATTCCATCTGCTAATGACCAAGTTACCTGATCGCAATCCATAAATGTCGTTAAGGCCAGATACTGCAACCCTAGATAGTTTGACGTGCACGAAGTCCGATCATTTTATTATTTATCGTCGACATCACCTGCCACTTGATTACTCATTAAGATAATAAAGACAATAACAACACACCCGGAAAAAAACACCTATCACATTATCATTTTTTTTATGTTTCAAACTAATCGACAGAGTGAAAAAACATTGGAACATGAGAAAGCAGATTGGGAACTACTTTAACACACGGTGCCACCCACTGTGCTCTTTTTTACCTGCTCCAGAATTCCAGTTTGACCTTGATCTCCCAAGGAATTTAAAGTAAAGCTCCACATGGAGCTAAAGTGTCCGGCAATAATCCACAAACTTGGCTGCTTGATGCAACAACCAAAGCCCATCACAAGGTGGACCATGTCAAGGCTTCGGGGATCGAATGAAATTCCAGCAGCATAGATTCTGCAACCTTGTAAAAGGGGGGCCACCTCAGGGGGATCACAGACTTCGGCATGGTTGCTTTAGATCATGGACCCAGAAATTCATTGCAATATAACTTTTGGTGCCGAGATCCTGCTTGCCTTCCTCACATCCACCTTTCATCGGGCATCCCAACTCTTGTAGCATGTTCAGCAGCGTGAAGTCAGAGTGACAGTGAGGAGATCCAAACGCATAAATCCTTCATCAAATTCACCGAAACAATAAAAACATTCATCTAATTAGCGGCACGATTCTGCCATGCATTGCCACGTCAATCAATAAAATACAAAAAACGCTCACAACTCTGTCCATACCTTCACATCTTTTCTCCGAATTTCTCTCCCAAGCAATTCTTGAGACACCGTGGATTCAGCGCTTGGGGCTTAAAGACTACGTCTCATGTGGATGGAAGAAGAGCGAATGGTATATTCATGTTTGACGATAGATAGCCTTTTTTAGTACCAGGTCAACCTCTGATTTGATCGCACTGCACTGGAACATGCAACTCTTGGTTTTTATCTGAGACTGTGTGGTTGCAGTTTGTAAAGGAGTAAGCAAGTTCCGGTAAAGGAAGAGGGGATAACTTTACTCAGATTCTCCCCAATGTTTGCGGTAAATTTGCTGTTTGAACAATCTGTGGGTCACAGTGGAGGCAATGAAAACCTTAGACTCAGTTTTGACTCCAAACCAGCAGTGTTGTTGGTGTTGCAGCGAGCAAGCAAGAAGCAGACGACTCTCATTCCTCGTAGTGAGTAACTTATGCATCGAGATTCGGGAGCAAAATCTCTGAGACTAGGAATACAGGATGGCTTTTGGAAACGTGGTCGTGACCATTGATGCACAGAAGCGCAGCTGCCAATGGACGTGCGTCAGTCGCCCGCTATCGTTCCCCGTCTGCTGCTTCTACGGTTGCATCTCATGGTCGCTAGTGGTCCATCCCTCTTCCTACTACATCCCTGCCACAGCAATGCTGGGCAAGTTGAGGAGGAGTCCTGGTGAGCTTCTCACATCGGAGTGGGGTCGCGTTGACGTCTCTCCAAAGCTTATGCTCGTCATGTTTTCTGAGTACTTCTCGATTGCTTCTCAATGTGTAGGTTTGGTTTTACATGATCGTCTTTCAATGAGTTTGTATGATTTGTTCCGGAAGCGGTTTGGGCGACGATGATTTCTTCGACTGGAGCGTGTTGATGTAGATGAAGGTCTCGAGAGGCTACAATTGAACTCTTCGGGAGCAGGTCTTGATCAAGTTAGGAACTGCGATTCTCGCCGTCTGAAGGCAGAAACCTTTGAAGGTCGACCTCCAGTTCGGTGCATTAGACTGCTTATAAACTACCTTGTGAAATGCATATTGTTGAATATGGAACCTTAACGTGACGAACCTGTAAAACTCTTTTAGAAATGTCTGTAATCTTGAATTCTGAGTTAATCCAATGCATTACTTATTTCTATCTTCACTCTGACAGCTGCTGGCAAGTCAGTAAGTGCATCGTTATGGCAACCAAATCTGTCAACATCTTCCGTGCTTTCTGCAATGACCTCTTAGTCAGCGACATACACACATACACACACACACACTCACACCAAGCGAGAGCGAGAGAGAGGGTTCTCCCTGGGGTATGGCCTCGATTTCTTAAAAATTGTCAAGGCTAAGGTCGAGGCTGATTGTGCTCTTCATTGGTTCATATGCACACAGGGTACTACTTTGCAGCGGTAAGCAACTGACTCACGATAATACAATATTTCCGCAAGTTGAAAGGGTATCGTCCAAGAGCAAACTATGAAGCAGGTCGAGCACGGCAGGGTATTTTAGTGTCAAGCCGGTTGTTGCAGTTCTGTCGACACGCAAGCACGTAATTCATCGCACATGATCAAAGCTTAGAAGCTGCGAGGGGAGGAAACTCGCTTGCGGGAGAAGGAATTTTGTTGTGTCAAGGAGACAAATCTGGTGAGTTGCGAAGATGGCAGCAGTGACGGGATGGATTCCAAGGTTTTCATTAGGCGACGTTGCAAACGTGGGTCAATTGACTGGCATCAACGCTGTGCAGTTAATCTCTATGATTGTCCAAGCAGCGAACAATGCTCGAATGCACAAGAAGAATTGCCGGCAATTTGCTCACCATTTGAAGCTGATCAGCAAGCTTCTAGAACAGCTCAACATAACAGACCTCAAGGAACGACCCGAGACGGGGGAGCCCTTGGAACTGTTCGAGGAATCGCTGCGCAAGGCACTTGTGCTTATCGAGAGTTGCCGCGACAAGAGCTACTTGTACCTTTTGGCCATGGGATGGACGTATGTTAACAAGTTTCGAGATTATCAGGACGAAAGTTGTCCCGCCAGCTATCGAAACGCTATCCAGGCATACCGATCACACAGGCATTGCGGAATGAGAACGAGATGTTGCGGCAAGAACTCCAGCGCTAACGGGTTAGGGCTACTTCAGTTCAAATTTACCTCTCATTTTCAAAGGAATCTTCTACAGCATGCATTCTTTAAGCCTTGGGTATATCTACGTTGATTCGTGTATGTGAATTTTTGGCTCGTAGTATTTTCTAACAGTTTGTGTGGCTCGTCAATCAGGCTTGTATGGAGTACGATTATGCGCTCGTGGTCGAGCAGCTTATTGAGTTCACAGAAAATGAACCTGCAAAACTGGAGAAGGCAGCTTCAAAAAAGTTTTTCTAAAATTATTGCAGTGATTGGCCAGTGTTCTCCAGCAGGTGCACATGACAAGGCTGCAGGAGTTCAGAAAGTCGACCTTCATTGCTAGATTCTCTTGTAAGCAACTTCAAGCGGCCTCCTTCTCAGGAAGTAAATTAGTAGAGAGGTTTCATTTATTCGTGAAACATTTCTACTTATTGCCACAATTCTATCAAGATGCGGCATAGTAGACATGCTAGCTTTTTAATATTTCCAAGTATGCTAGAGGTTGTGCAGGGAGTTAGCACGCTTGTAGTCCCCACATCTTGGTGGCGCCTGAGCGATTCACATCTTTAGGTCACCAGGTTATGAAGTGACATATCCATGTGGATGATGCTTCTTTGTAAATATGCAAGACTCTCTCTTGTTTATTGAAAGATGAGCAATCGACTTGTCGTTTTAGTGGCAGATTTTCTGTATAAACTGAACTTCATTTGTTCACAGTGGTGTTTGAAACTGCGTTGTAGCACGCGTCTCTTGATTGACACTTCATTCGCGAAATTACCAAGGATGGTGTACAAATAACCCAAGTGTTTGACAGAGCTGCACGGCAAAGTCGCCGTTAATGCTAATATTTCCTGAGACTAAGCTACGAAATAGAGGGCCTGTGCACATGCTCCACCAAATGTGTGCAATATTCTCATTTCGATCACGCACAACATTACAGTTCCTTCGAGAGAATTGCAAACGAAGTCAGGCTTTGATTTCTGAAATAGTAAAAGCTTTTAAGGGGATTCTACTTTAGTACTATCTTCTTCCCTTAATTTATTCTTCGACGTCCAACGGAAGGATCCGCTGTAGCCACATATTCTGTGCACAGCATTGGAACTATTATAAAATATTTTTATGTTTGGAATTAGACTTGCAATCTGCATCTGGGTTTCGATTTTCCACATAGGATAATCAATCCAAACCCTAACCCTTGGAGCTGCTGGGTACATAGAACCGGGGAGCGTGGCCATAGATATGGCGATGGAGGAGGTGGAGATTGACATCGAGGGAGACGTTGTGGAGTCTCTGCGATCTATCGCCAATTGTAGCGACGCGGAGATTGAGGCGTTCGCTGGGGCGGCGCAATCTGTCCTGTTGAGCTTGCAGCGGGAAGACGCAGCGCTTGACGGTCCCATCTTTGAACAAATTGAGGTGGATCTGATCAAGAAGCTGTACTCCGCCCTGGCGTGTCTGTTCGTGGAAGCGGCTAAAAGCAATGCGTCAGAGGGATCGCTTGTGAAGTTCTTGTCTGGAAGGAGTGGCGTGTCCGAATCACAGGCGGAAATTGTTGCACGAATTTTTGTAGACGGGAAGGAGCGGTTGCGAAAGGATTTGTCTCGTACGGGGGACTTTAGTAGCATTTCCCGGCTGAAAGGAGTGGATTGGCGCCTTGAGTATCGTGTTGCGAGTGGTGACGAGGGCGAAGAGCAGGGTACAGGGCCGCATCGGGCACCTCCGCGGAGAGATCTTCTGTACCACGTTGTGCTGAAGACGGGAGAGAAAGTGGAGGGAGGTGAGGCGAATGGGCAAGCAGCCTTTGCATGTAGTGTCGAGCAGCTCCAGGATATGGTGTCGACGTTGAAGGATGCGTGCAAGGCAGTTGAGAGGATTGTGTACCAAGGGTAATTTGTTATAAGGGGGCTTAGAATGGGAGAGTGGGATTTTTGTCAGATTCTCAGCAGAGTACATTCTGTGGCGATTCGTTGACTCGTAGGGAAGCGGTGACGTTATTCTGCCTATTCTTCGCTCAAGTGCTCTTGATCGAGTAATACAATATCTAAAACACGATGTGTAGTGTACGAAAGTATGAGGAACTTAGGTAAGACAATGCGTTGTGCTTTCCTGAGCGTTTTCCTCACGTAATCCTCATGTTTTGGATCTGCTCAAGAGTTAATACAATTGAAATAGACCAGTTTGAGAAGACCAGTTCTGAGGTTAGGGTTTAGATAATTCGTTGTTGAGAGCTACGTTTTCTGAATCCAAGGTTAATTCACATTTAGGTTCATGGGATCGAAGGTGTTTTGAATCAGGGTTATCATTGTCCAGCTACCCATTTGTTTAAATCGCTTACGATTAGGTCCGCGTTGAATTGCTGAAATTTCTGTCATTTTGCCCTTATTTCAAGAGAGAACCTGCTTTCTCTACCAATTTATCTACCTGCAGTCGTGTATTGTTCTTCTTTTCCACAGGGGGTTATAGCAAGAGAGAACCTGTACAACCACAATGCGTACGTTTGCGAGCGGCATTGTCTGAGCCGCTTAGCGACTGAAATTCCGTCCCATATGCTACAGATTTACAGCTTTTAGTAAATAAACCACCTCTCTCATATCCTAATCAAGGCCTGGTTTGTGCGATTATCACGAAAGTAGTTACATGGATATAGATCTTGCAATTCAAATGGCTGGGGAGGAAAAGGTAGGCTTGGTTGTTAGGGGTCCGATAGACGCAGACGACGTGAAAGGGAGCGTTAGTGACGTACCTACATCGACAGACCTAAAGCCATGGAAGGTGAAGAAGCCGTGGGAACTTTTTCGAGCTGTTTCTCCTGCTAACGACATTGAAATTTACGAGAGCAAGGCCGTATCGGTGGCTTCGCAGGACTTCGAAGTGACTCCGCCTGAGACTGGTTACTTGTGCATTCGTTGCCAAGGTGATGAAGAATTTTATATCCCATCACATGTGGTCGACTGCTTTCAATGCGTTGATATTATCCTCCATGGGGATGGTGAGTATTAACTTTCAGCCTTGACAAACACTGACATATGAGGGTTGCACTTAAGATTCTTGATGCATGTTAACCTTCAATTTCGATTAGTAGACTACGAATGGCGTGGCAGCGTTGGTTCTAGTTGAATATTTGAGCTAATTTAGCCTATTCCTCGAGGTAGAAGACTGTTTAACTAGAACACTGTCAGCGAAGGTTCAAAGTTGCAGTGTGCAACAATATTCTATTATTTTATTTTTTCGTAATCGTCTCTCTGATCTGATCGGAAGTGAGACACGATTGCAGCTATTTTCAAAGAAAACTTGGAGAAAATGATAAGGTTCCCAGATATTCGTGCAGAGGTGAGTGCTTGCTTCTTTCAATATTTGAACAAATTTTACTGTGAAGGAGTTTTTGCACCAGTTCTGTTCTTAGTGAAACCTTGTATCTTAGTTTCTTCCTCGAGGGAAGTTCGAACTATCTCAATTCTACCGAGGATATTTCACCTCCAGTTAAAGTATCTGAAACGCTTCTACATGTTCCTTGAACTCCATGAGTACATGAGCTTGAAGTCTCGGAATCTATTTCCGAAGTAGGAATTACAATGTTGCCGTGCAACATCTTAACATGATAAGAACAAGAGATGCAAGAAGTTAGTTAAGATAGTGTGTGACTTTCTTGGTTGTACTGCTCTACTGAACTGTTTCTCAACCTCAGATAATTGTTTTCCATCTTGTGCAGATTATGGAAGCTGTTTTGAGGTTTGTATTTATTGAGCATCTAAACAACGTAAAATATGCAAAATATTGGGGACCTGATGCACCACGGCTAGTATTCCAATTTGAGGTGCAATATTTGTCAATTTGTCCTTGATCTACTGTTTAGAGCTTTGGTGTTTGGAAGCTTTATTACTTATGGTATCTGCCGCTGTGGACACCTCCTCTCTGTTTTGAATGCATGATCATTGTTAGGATTAAAGAGGCGGTCTTGCTCGTTTTAGATCAACCACTGTATATTTCAGCTCGTTCTGAATATGCGTCTAGTTGTGACTTAGTTGAGGGCAGAGGTTTTTTCACATCTATTAGAACTGGGCTAAGTTGCTGCTTTCTTGAGTGTAGGCTGTGTTCATTTGTGTGTGCATTCCGTAGTCACGTCCTCCGTTGCTACTCCAAGTTTTGAATTAGAGATGTTAAAACATTTCGTGGTCGATGTGAAGGTTGAGCCGGATCAAGTGATGGACCTTATACAAGCATCACACTTTCTTGGTATTAAGAGTTTGCTAAATGTTGCTGCTACAATGGTTGCCCATCACCTGGCAGGTAATATGCGTAGAGAGATTTCTGACATTTTGGTTTCGCATGCTTGCTAGATTGCTTGAGCATCTTGCGGCTTGCACGAGTAACCAGTTTGTGGAGCATTTTTAATTACGAGTATTTTGTGGAGCAAATCGTGGGAAATTAATAGCTAAAAGATCGTCAAAATCTGGGTTTCAGAACAGTTACTGATACTTTCTGTGGCAGATATACCGGATGTATCGTCGATGTTACCAGATCTGGCCTGGTGTGTTGCTGAACTACTTACAGCACAACAACTCTTTGATGCTGAACAACGCCCAGACTTCCTGAGCTTGAACCTTGGTATGGTCAACAGCGTCAGTTGTTACCATGATGCAGTATTTTTTTTCTCCTCCCCCCCCCACTAAAGCAATTTCGACCATGCTATCTATTGATGCCTTTCCATTGGCATGGACGGCTGCATTGTATGTATGAATCTTAGGTATAAATTCAGTATACTGTTTGACATGGTTTTTGTTCACACGTGCAGAGACTAGTGTGCTCTGGGAACGGCACTGCAAACGACTACAGGTGGAAGATTTGGTGCAACCCGTTTCAGCATCCAACTACCCGTCTTACGATACATGGGATTTTAGCGAGGGGCCTCCTCCAACTTCTTGGAAGTCTCTTTATGTAACACATGTGTTGCAGCAGCTTGCTGATCGCCAAGATGGAGGTTAGGCTTAGTCTGTTGACACTCTCACCTGTATTACTAATTATCTGAAGCCATTTTCCTATCGTGGCTCTTGAGATGTGTTAAAGTTTACCGCAGTTGATCTTATAGATTCGATTTAGTAGGGGTTGCAGAATTGATAAGGGAGTATGTAAGCGTCTATCATCGCTGTATGTGCAGAGAAACTTGATGATTTTTTCGCTGAAGTTGCTCTCAAAGGGAAATTCGCCTGCAGACACACGGTAGATATTTCAGCCAGTTACTCTTTTCTATTGTTCAGTTGATGTTATCTTGATTGGTTAAGTATACATTTGAAAATGAAAATTCGCTTAAAATCGCCGAGTAATTACGCATGTAGAACGGCCCCCAGTGATTGGTCATCCTGCACTGCATTCCATTGGATGCTTGATTTTTGTGAAGAGTTTGAGCCGAGCATAAGATGAGAGGAATTATTATGATAGGACTCCTTGTCATAGATGAGGTTGAATGAGAGAAGAACTCATCACTTTATATCATAATATTCCTGCAATAGTGTAGGGATTGACCATGCATTATTTTCTCATACATCTTATGTTTGTAATCTTAGATACGGGGGATGATGTGGGACTGGGTTCTCAATGTCCCCAAAAGTTTGCCTCTTGCATCGTATGTTAGTCTTTTCCCCAACATCTTCTCTTTAGGTAAAAATTCGAATTTCCTCTGCTACGGCTTTTTAAACGTTTGTTTTTGTTTGTTTATTTGCTCTTATCTTATCAATGGTCTTAGTTTATATTTGTCTCATTGAGTTTGACTCATGGTGTTGTGTGAATCTCGGACAATGCCAATGTGTTGCAAGTTACTACAGCTTATTATCTAAAAAATTCTGTTCCCTTCAGTTTTGGTGAAGCTGCCCCTTGGCAAGGAACTAGCAGACGGTACACTACCATGCATGAGTCTTGGAGATATTCTGTCGCATCTTCCTCATCTTCAACATCTTGATGTCAGGTGAATATTTGAGCATTTAATTTTCATTTATTTTTGTATAATGGTTTGTGTTGAGTAAGATCTGCGATGTTATTTATGTATCTTACAAGTAACTGCAAAATTTTGAAATTTTATGGTTGCCGACTTCCTTGTGTGTCTTCATTTAGGCTTACCGGAATAACGCACATCTAAGGAAAATTTATTTATTATTAGAAGTTGAAATACTCTATTGGTTGAAAATTGTAAAAGGATATTGAGTAGAGCAGAATGTAATATCATGTGGTGGTCTGGGGCATGAGATTATGTAGAAAGAGATTTTTTATTCTTGAGTTGCCCTGTGCAGTGAAAGTGGAGTCACTGCAGATGCAGCCGTTAGCTTGAGCAAGGGACTCAAATCTCATGCTAGGTACTAGTGAGAAAGACTGCTACCTCCCAACTAAAGTATATTTTAAGGAATTCAGTAATTGAATGCCACCTCGTTCTACAACTTTGTAGCTTCAATATGTTCACATGTTTTGATTTGATTTATTTTAATTTAATATAAAGTAAAGAAATAAAAAAAACAAAAAATCAGTGCTTTTAATCTACATTTAAATGTTTTGACGAAATCAGTACTATTTCATTCACCTTCAGTGCTGTTATTTGATTCAGGTTATCTTGTGTTGTGAATACTGCTCTCTTCAATAATAATCTTTATTGGTGAAAGGCTGCAGGTCCTTCGAATCGCATACAATAGTATTCAAACCAGAGGCTTTTCCGCTATTGCCATGTGTTTCCCAACGGTTAGGTATGTCTTATCTCTCTCAGGTTACTTGCAAGCTCTTCATGCTTTGTTATGGTTCAAACAGAATTGTCTAAGACTATAATTATCTTCTTACCTATGCTTCTACCTTACTTTTAAACCATGTGTATGATGTACGCCTCATATTATGTGGCAGCTTCAGTTCACCTTCAACTAGATTGCTAGCCTACAGATTCTCAAATTTACACTCAACATGAACTTTTTACTTATTGCTGAGTGAAAGTAATCACATCTAAATAGTAAAAGGCACCAATATTCCTTTAATGTTTCCTGATTCTGCAGAACATTGAAGCTCTTCGATGTACGTGGGAATGGAATACAATTGTCACTAGCCCAGGAGGTTGTTGCAGCTCTTGAGCAAAGCTCCGTGAAGGAATTACTCCTTGCAGGTGATGCCTATCTTCGGTGTAAACTCTGTGTTTCCAGATGCTCATTTTTGCTACACTGTAGCTGTTTCTAATATGATTATGAGTTGATTCTTATATAAAATTCTGATTTCAAGCATCATCCAATTAACTTGTTGACACAAAAAGTGTAATTTACCATCTAGAACACGGATATGTGCATGCAGTGGTGTTAATTTGTATCTATGATTATCCGAATCGTATAGCGATTAGTTTTTTCTGATTAGTGGTGAGAAATGAGAAACTAAATGATGAATTATTCACATTTGTGGTAGAGCTGGGGTCTAGCAGAATCAAGCATCCTACGAGTACTCTTACACTGGATGCCTATGGAATTTCTTGTTCGCTTCTTTTTGTTTCAGGAAATCCCACTTCTTTTGGAATTCAAATGCCACATTTTCAGCGGTCTGGACAGACTCATACAATTTCTATCAGATCAACAGATTTTTACCAAATGAATGATGTAGCTGAAGAAGTGGAGTCGGGACCAGCATTCATTCTGCAATCCTATTTGTGGAGTTCCTTGCCAAAACACCTAAAGAAACTGCAACTCGCGGAGTGCCAAGTTAGTGACTCTCAGATCGGCATTCTTGTCAGAGCACTGCATGGTCACGAAACTATAGAGGTGAGTGTTGAGAGGCTCGATCTTCCATCGGTTTTGCGGGCGGCCTGCTCTAGACTGATGATACATTTTACATAACTGACCATGAAATTATTTCTCCCTCATCGTCAGGCTAATGATGTCTATGTGGAGTGATTGGGTGTACTTCTCTCGACAAGTATTATAGAAGATATGTTCGTAGTTTATTCCTAAAATTCACATTTACATTTTTCTTTTTACTTGATCATATGTAACAGTTGCATGGTCCTATTGTTGATTGACAGGGGCTCGAGTTGAATGACAATAGAATCACGTCAACTGGGGCTTGCGCAATCTTCACTTGGCTACAGGTACGTTCACTGTATAAGTGCTGATAGTTGTAGCAGCCTCTCGGCAGCATTATGTCTAACACTTCAGAGTGATATATTTGATATTCAGGGCAACTTATCGCTTCGGGAACTTTTACTTGGGAACAACAACATCACTGATTCGAGCTCAACGGACTTGATCAAGGCCCTAGGAACGCATCCACGACTTGAGAAGGTGCTTTCTAGAATGTCTTTAACATTATGATAATTGCTCCAGATGTTATCAAGGGATTCGTCGAGAGTTTCTCTAAATATATTGATTCATTATAATGCTAAATTGAAACCAAGCTAGTTGGGTGTTATTGTCATTCTGCTGTTCAGCATAATCTTATTACGAAGGTCAATAGAATGGATATATCTGCCTCGATCACAAGTGTGCTTCGTTTCATAAAACCTAGTATGAATCAGTCTGATTGCTTTGATCTTGAAGCGCGATCCATGTGCTTTGCTTTTTGCAGGTTTCTTTGAGGGGTAACTACTCGTATGGGGAAGACAATTTACGCATGGTTAGTTTAAGAAGTCCTTGTCCATGATAGTCATCACATTGTGTATCATAAACATGAAATAAAAGCTGCCCACATTTTTTAAACAAATGAAGTCATACTAGTTGGGATTATTAATCAATTTAGCAGTGCTTAATCGGATGAATTTTCATTGCTTGCATCAAATTAAGTAGTCCCTTTCGAAAAGAGTTTCGTGCTGTTTTTGAAAAAAGATTATTGCTGGTTTTTTGACAAGGTCATTCAAGCGGCTAGAGGACAAGGCGAGGCACTTCTTTTGACGCAACAGAAGAGGTTCATTTTGGACTTGTCAATGACGGATGTTTCCCACACAACTCGTGCAAGGATTCTTCGGGAGATTGCTGATGTAACGGAGATATATCTGTTCATTTGATCTGTGTTTTCTGTCGCCTTCGGCTAATTTGCCGATTTACAACTTAGAGTGTTTTCATTCCATAAGCCAGCTCAGATTACGAATATGTTGTCGTGTATCCTATTCAAATCTTGTTGTCTGTTTTCAGGCTGGATCTGTGATTGAAAGTCTCCTTTTTGTCTATAAGTGACATGTTTCATCAGTTCTTGCTTTTGACTTTTTCACAGATGTTCTTTGGCAGCTCCCTGTTAAGTAACTTACCATAAATGTAGCTGCATTGGCTCGCTGCAATCTCAGTATGCTCAACATAAAATTATTACCATCAATTCTAACAGTTTTTTAATTAGAAAATGATAATTCCAAATTATTAGAATTGATATCATTGCTAGTACTGTCTTCCAATCGTATGTCAAGTTTGTCAGCTCCATATTAAAACACGCATACTAAAATCTCTGGTGCCAAAGTCACTTGTTTACATTCTTCCAAACCAGTAACTTAAATTGTTTGTTGACTTGTGAATACATGCTTTCTATTCATTTCGTGGATGCCAATGACAAGGGTAGGTTTGTACTTCCTGTTTTTGAAAATTATTTTTTACTTAAGTCACAACATTTCATCAATGTCATGCGATTGTTAATCATTTGTAGTACCACTTTTTCTTGCATTACCATATTACATCAAGTTTTTGCTACTGTTACAATAAATCATTTTAAAAGCATGTCATGAATTTCTTTGTTACTTGCCGAAGCATATATAAAATCTCATTCAGGTTATATTTAAAAAAATGCTTCAAAATCTCTTCTTAATTGTATCTCTTATTTTATGAATATAATAATTAGTTGTTTCATAAAAGTACCTTTTTCATACTATTTTTTATTTTTCTAGAAGTAAATAAATAAATTATAATGACCATATATGCTAAGACTCTTCAATGGAACTACATCCACTTAAAAACAAATTATTTTATATTATGTAATTTATTTAATTATTGTAATTGGTCACTTCTTTAAACTTTAGTCATCTATACATTAAGATTGCTCAAGGAGAGAAGTGGTGGCTTTCATTCACCACATGGATGGGCCTTCCTTTTCATCAAAAAGATTCATGTTTTGTGGAGTTCACAATGTGTTCAATAGTTCAATGTTGCATTTTACAATTGATTGGGGAGTTCTACAGGGCTTAAGAAGTGGTCCTTGATGGTTGCATGGATGAGTCTTTGTTTTCATCAAAAAAGTTTGCATTCTTTGAAGTTCACAAGGCGTTCTATAGGACGTTTTATAGATGATTAGGGCATTCTATATTGCTAGTGATAGCATCAGAGCTATAGGAATTGTTGTCAAGGATAATCCTTTAATTTATTGTTAATTTTTTTTTGAAGAGATCTTATTTCACAATTAGAAATGTGTAGTAGAGTAGGCTTTCACGTTTGTGACTAATGATCATGTAGAAAATAAATTTATTATTAAAAAAAATAAAAATTACAAATTAAAGCTTCATTATTAAAAATAAAAAGTTGATAGACATTCCAAGGGTGGGGTGTAGCAATACTACCACAACTTTCTTCAGCAATGTATACAACTTTTGATGATGCCAATTTTTGCTTGCATTGCAATGTAAGGAGAAGGGAATTCATGTTGCTATGAGAACTATACAAGAGTATATTTGTATGTTCAATTTATGAATGAAAGAAACTTTTTAGATGTTAAATTCATTGAGATACATCATTTTAGTTTTTAATTTCCATTGCAAGATGTAAAATTTGGATGTTGACATTTCACTTTTCAATCAAAAATTTATTATATTAATATGATAGAATCTCATATAGAATTTGTGCAAGGGTGGCAATTTGCAAGCATGTTTTATTTTTTAATTGGATTATATCATTTCATGGAATGTAATTGCATTACTCAAATGTTATATCTTGCTTGTCTCCAAATTGCACACTATAGCAAAAGATGCCAAACTATATTTTGTAAATATATTTTATTATATTTTATTAATATAATTTATTTTATTATATAAAAATATAATTTATTCTATTTTATTAAGTTTGTGTTGGATTTTGTAAAATGGATTTGATTTAGAAGTTACATCATTGTAAGCTTAAGTACAACACTCTCTAATATGCATCTCTTCTTTTTTCTTCTTTCTTTCTTTTGTATCCTAGAATTATTTATATTTACAATATGAGGTCTATATTCTTTATTTTTATTATTTTTCTAAGTATTGTGAGTATTAGAAGTTTAACTTTGAGGATGTTGCAAGGTGGTGCTTAGATTTGCATTTGATTTGTTATTTCATTTTCTGCAAATAGGATTGAGGAAAGAGTATGAAGTGGTTTTGCACTTTTTTGCTTTTCTTTCAATGTTTTAAAATGTATATTAAAGTTCACAAATCACATCACATTTCAATTTGCAACTCAAGAAGTTTCAAAGTAAAGTAAGATGTTGTATTCTTGCATGTTCACATCAACTTCACCTAGAGTAATAACTGTTAATTAATATATGGTGAAGCAACAATTGTTAATCCTTACCAAGCAATGAGATTGGAAGGCATGCATCCAAGCAAAAGGCCTCACTCCACAAATTTCTTGTCTAATTTGCAACAATAGAGAAGTAAAATCCAAGGACATTGACCCAACCTTTGTAAACGAGCTGGCTTCTAGCTTTTTGAATGGTGAAGGTAGCTCTCAACTCTATTCCTTAAAGCACCAATCTCAAATCAGGGCTTTTATTCATGAATCAAATAAAATTTCTATGCCTTGAGTGGATTTTTCCACAAGTCCATGCTTTGAGGAGGACACATAGAATGTGGTGATCATCATCTTCTTTATTCTTTTTATTTAGATGCATGGTTTGTTTTATCAAAATTTTAATTGTTCTTTTAGAATATAATATCCAAAAAGTAGATCATGATTTGGAGGCTTTAGAGCAATAGTCTCCACATGGTTTTTACCACTAGGGCCCAACTTTCAAGGTTCACATTCTCAAGTACCAATTGTTTTAATCATAATTTTTTGATTGGACAAAATAATATGCACATTAAGATTTCTTTGTTGAGCTTAATTTACTAGGATGATTATAAGTATGTCTCTGGAATAACATGTAACAAGTTGATGAAAAGTGAACAATGTGTGTGGACCTGTAGTTTGAAGAAAAAAATGTGATTTTTCTCAATATTATGTCATCAATACATTTTAATAGTATGAAGAGCACATTGTACCACTCAAGCTTCAATTAAAGGCATTTGCAAGCAAAAGCCCACCAAGAACCATCAACTCTTGTAGCTATACTTGGTAAGATAATTTTGCAATGTCTACATCATCTACTTCTCATGTTGGAGTTGGTTTGTCAAAATTTGGACAATAGAACAAAAGTGTAGTACAAATGCCTATCTAAGAAATAAATATTTGTAAAGAAGATGCTTGCATCTTGATACGTTTGATGTTATTTAATTTTTATTAAATTTATTTTATTTATTTATTTTTGGATACAATGTTCTGTATATGATATCTGTTCTAAGGTATGTGATATTACATGATGCAGATTCACTAAAAATGAGTGGAACTTCATTTGTGATGAATCAAAACTATTGTTGATTAAATTCCTAGCTTTTCTAAATGTTGTGTTCTTCATTTCATCAAAGTCTAAATTTCATTAAATACCATAATTTAAATAATTGACTAATTTAATTTATCAACCACAGTTGAATTTTTTATTTTTTTATTTTTTATTTTTTATTTTTTCAGTCTATATTCCATGATTAGTGCACATCTTGTTACAAATCAAGAAGAATGCGTTGAAATTCATTCACTTATTATTATCATACTTTTCAATGCAACTTTCGTCAACAAAGAGAGACCAACATGCAGGATGCATCCATTTGCACAAGAATTTATCACTAAAACTCACGCCTAATCCTGTCAAGGAGTATTCAACACTAAATTAATGCATTAATTAATTGTGAACTAGACTAATTACCGCAAGTAATCGTTGCATTGGTTCATCTAGTCCACGGAACTGGGAGCCACCGACAGCTCACACTCGGCGTCGGTTGCGCCGTTGTCCTCGACTCTGATCGCCGGAAGCTGAGCGATCAGTCCAGCGCGAGATGGAGACCCTGAGGGATCGACGCTATCGCTGTGGTAGTCCAGATGAGGAAGGGATAGTGGATCTGACAGCTTCCGACGCTGTTGCTGTGTTGGATCGGAAACCGGGGTCGTTGTGCGAGGTTCGTCGCTGCGAAGAGCACGGCCGCGTGCATGGCGGAGGCCCTACTGGCAAAGGAATCAGCATCTTTCACGATATGACAAAACCTGATGGTTCACTACGAAGCTTCGGAATTGAGTGAGTGAGTGTGAAGCACCGAAATCGGAAGATGCCGTGCCGTGAATTCTAGAGAAGTTGTGCTGTGGTGGGATGAGAGTGCAACCGTGCGATTAGGGGAAGAAAACGTCGGGAAGCGGAGCTGTGTGACGGGCATCAGTAGGTGACAGATGGAGACACTGTAGATCTGCATTGAAACAGGACCCCACCACTTGATGCGTCACAGGACCTGACTTTCAAGTCATGAGAAACAATTTTTGCGTGGACTGGGAACAATAGAATCTCGATCTACGCATTGGAGCGTTTCTCCGCTACGCAAATGGCACATCGACGTTCGTTACCTGCCTTGCTGGCAGATCCGCATCAAGGTGCAGCCGCTGAGGCAGTCTAGCGTGGTAACACAATATGTTTATTACCAATAAGTGAATGAATTTCGTTGATTCTCCGAATCATGTGAGAAGTCGCACCATGATACATGCAAAGCTAGTGTCACTAGACACTTCTAACGTTCGTAAAAAGGGCATATTACTGCATAGACGTGGTGTGTACCACAACCTCGAAGTGTTGTGGGACGTTGAAGTATAGGACCACGTTGTTCGCCATGACAACATCAATCTTTTTTAACGATGATTATAATAACAATAATGATAATAGTAGTAGTAGTAACTTCATTGCTGAACTTTTTATATTGTAAATGTAGGTCATTGAACTTTTCAGAGACTTGCTCCATATGCAGATGCGTGACCGTACGTTAAATTTCGATGCAACATCGAGACGATTTGAAGCAAGAGCAGGTGAGGAAACTCTAAAAAGTGAAATTTATGGTAGTTGTCATGAGAAGAGCGCTGAGGGAAACTAATTCCGGGGTTGCCATTGCGTGTTGAAGTGGCCATCTGACTGTACTTTTGCTGGTATTAGCGTCTCCTTGGTGTGTCCTGTGCTGGGAATTGCTCCTCACTCCAGAAATGGGGGTGCTAAAGGACGGCTTCTCAGGTCAGAAGTGTAGACGGACAGAGTTTCCTGAGCAGGACCGTGGTCGATGACAGTATTGTGCGCAGTTTGATCGATTCAAAGGAGGTCGTTGGGCGAAAGGTAACTCTTGTTACACACAGTTGTTTCTTGAACCTGCCTGTAACTCTATCGATGCTTCTGTTATTACTCTGTTTTGGCGGTGGCCTGATCGGGATGCAGTGGGAAATAGTCAATCGTCACATCGTTGCAGCCATTGCTCAGAGGGTGTAACCCTAACATGGGTTGCAGGGAGCTCAGCGCACATTTTCCTGTGCGGGCTGCACTGTTTTAATCATGCCAACACTTTGGAATTCCTGATGCTTGCGTGGTGCCTCTTGAAATCCCAGCCCACGTAAATGGTCGGAGCTACGGTGCATTCATGTACCATGAAGCCGCTTGCTGTCCAGGAGCCTCTCCAGGTACACGTCCAATTGACTTCATGTGGTAGAACCTAGTTCGGTATCTTTGAAATCGTGTGAATAATCGATCAAGCTATGTTGGTTATCAAAGCTGATGGATATCAAGGTGCGCTCATTCTATCAGGCAGTAAAAGAGCGCTCATACTATGACCCCTGCAGATCTCCAGTACTTTGGCGAATATCACGAATGTGAAGTTTCAGGCGGCAAGCTGCGGATCGCAGTGGACTGGGGTCATGCGGTCGGCCATGATTGACAGAATTGAAATCCTTTCAAGGACTTGTCAATCAGCTCGTGCAATTTCGTTACCTGGTGTGAGCAGATGGGAGGAGGGTGGGCTGCGATCACCCCCTTCGCCCAAAGCCAAGACTTTGGCTTACTGGCCGACACTTCGACGGAATTTTTCTTCGACGTTGCGGGTTTCTTTACGTAAGTAATAGGTCGGCTCTATTCTTTGTTTTGATCAGATTGTCGCAAATGTAAATAACTCATCAATGACTCCGAATCAATCCTGGACCTCCAGAGATGTTGTTTAATACCCGCCCGTGATGATGAATTCAGTGCCAGTGCAAGCGGCCAGCAGTGTTCAGATTGCAAGCACAATATTCACGCTTGGCACGGCGTTTGTTGTGCCCTTTTACACTGCCATGATTATAGCTCCGCAGCGGCAATGGGTACGTCTTCGTTGCTTTTGGGTTTCCCTCTTGAGATAGACAATTTGCTCACAACTGGTGAAGATTATTCATCAAGCCCTTTTAGCTCCTTCCTTGAATCTAAGTGGGATTATTTCTGGGACCCTACAGACCAAGAAGCTTATGGAAAGTGAATTACCCTTTTTGGCGATGGGCGCGATGTACCTCTACCTGATGACTCTGTCATGGACTCCCGAAACTGCGGGTCTCATGTTTGCAAGCAAGTACTATCTCCCCGAGGCAAGTCCCTGTGCATTCATTTTTATTTTAAAAAATCAGCACTTTTCACTGTGCCCGTCATTATGGACAACAAAACTTTCATCAAATGTGTTTGTGGAGGGCTAAATCATGCTGTAGGAGGATGGTCAATAAATTTCCCTCTAAATGGATTGGAATGAGGGAGCAGCTGCCAGGCATTACGCGCATGTTTTCAAGCTCCATTACTGTGGCCTCAGCTTGGATCCACTTGCTTCTAGCTGACCTTGCCTGTGCTCGGTAAGTGTCTGCTCATTGCCACCACGTCTCGAATTGTCCTCGCTATTATACTCTTTGTTAAAAAAAGGTACGTTGTCACTATCTAAGGTGGGAAATCATCCTTTCACCAAGAGCAGGTTTGATGTTTCTTGTGTTCTTTAGGTACGTATATCTGGATGGTCTAAAGCTCAAAGTGGAGACGCGCCACTCGCTTGTATTCTGCCTGATGATGTGTCCTGTCGGGATCATTTCTCATGTGATCACCAAGGTGCACTTACTTGTCTCAACCCAACACTTCATTCTTTGACATGCTTCAAATTTTTCAGCATGGTATAAAAGCTAGCCTCTAAAAATACTAATCCCAATGTTTGTTATAATATATCTAAAAGCTGACCAAAAAATGAAGTCAGAACCCTGAAATGAGGCAAAACTTGCACTATTTTCATTCAAAACAGGAACCCAAACTTACTTTTCAAGCCACTTTATTTATTAGCATAAAGTACTCTGTGCAATTAAGGAGTAGCTGTGGTGTTATGGAATCCTGTCTCTCAAACCATGAAACATGCAGGAGGTCGCCAGAAGAATCCGAGATTGAAAATCTCTCCGGTAGCTTTGAGAAGAAATTGAATTATTTATCAGAAAAAGAACTCTTGTTCGACCTAAATTATCGGTCATATAATCGGTATGTATAGGTATGAAGCATTGAGGTTATCAACGCTTGTATAGTTTTGCAGGAAAGTTCCTATGGTTTAGAAGTAGAACATGATAGCTTAATGTTTGTATGGAAGTGAAGGTGAAAGGTTATGGTACAACTCTACAATTTACAGGCGGTGGCCGTTGGTACTTGTGAAACGTGTTAAGAACAGGCGCCTGAGGTATCACAGAGTTTTAACTTTTCAGCTCTATGAGAGAAATCCACCCCTTTTCTACACTTCCATGCCAGTGGCTAGCAAATGCACAAGATCTGTGCGACAGTTTCCAGGGAAGAAGCCACTGATCTTTGTTTTCGTTCTCGGTAGTCTCACTCTGTCTAACTAGACATCGAAAGGACCCAGATTGAGCAAATGTTTTTAACTTCATTTTATTCCTCCAGATTATCCGGTCCTTCACTCGGCACAATGTCGGTGGCAGCCCAGCTGACAAGGGAACTACATTGGCAAACAGCACCAGTAATTGAGTTTGATTCTTTATTGAAATGCAATCTAACTGGAATTACAAAGTGATTCCCATGCCACTCCGTACAATTTCATCATCATAAATGGCTTGGGCACCTTCTTCAAATTCAAATGTAGATTTTGAAATTGTACATTATTAGTATTTTTGTTTTTGTTTTCTCCAGTGGGACCAGGGAATTTCACGTGATATTTGAAGGTTGTGTTCAGCCTGTTCCAAGTGTAGGATAGTAGGAAATTGAATCTGGTAGGTTTAAATTTAAACTACCGATTTACAGCAGTTCGATGAAAGTATTTTGTACTTCGTATGTAAAAAGAACATTTTCAAACACGAAGACATTTACTGCGTAACTCCACATCTAGCTTATGCTGCATGTGCAGCGGAGATGTCTGGCACTTGGACAATGTTGCAATTCAGAGGTCACAGTCTACCAAGAATTCTCCACTTCCATGTTCAGTCCTGGCAGATCATTATCCGATCCAGCATTCCGAACCATAACCGTCAATTAGAGGCACAACTTTTACTGTAGCCTACAAAAGTTTGTTTTACAGTATCATGGTTCAGTGTTTTGAACCGAGAGCTGAGCCTTCGTAAGAGCTGAACCTCCACGTTGACGTATTCTGGAAGTATGTTAGGAGCAACCCGCACAGCACATAACTTATTTTTTAAAACATTATACTGCACCAGAAACTGTCAATATTCAGGTCGGTGCTATCATTCCGTGGGCAACCTGCTCACAATTTGTTGCAATAACAAATGATATTTTGGATTCTGATATCCAATTCGACAAGGTACTCATTTTGAATTTGGGCAATGAGAGTAGTTTACAGTACTGTACTCGCAGAGCGGCCATCCATGAAGATGACGCTCCAGTGGCTCTTCCAAAAGATTCGCAAGCAATGCGGGTCACGCATGTTGTCATGAACTTGAGAGTCTCAGCACTAATTAGGTGATGAAGTGCAAGCTTACACAATTTCGCCATTAAGTCTGTGTCCTTTCTTCTAAACACTTTTGCACTCCAACGCCAATATTATGATTCCTTTCTTTACATAAGGTTGAGCGTGACCAATGAACACATGCACTCCATGTCTCGAGCTGACGGCAGCTCTCGCCTCACATAGTAAGCATGCCAATTGAACAGAGTAACGCAGGCTAGGTTCTTTCCCAATGGAGCTTGCTTCTGTATCCAATGACAGACGATGATCACGTGAAGACTGCAGGATAAGAAATCCACCGGCTTTGCCAGATTAACATCAAGAAATAGAGTTAATGAGGACCGAGGACATGACTGCAGAGTTTAAGTAGCATTGAGTTGACATCAAAAGAAAAGGGTCAAAGCAAGTGGAAATAAAAATAAATGAAAATGTGTCAATAAATTTTAAACAATATACTCGCAATCAACAACACCAAGACCACCTCTGAAAACAAGCATAAGAAACACAATTAGCTGCATTCGACGAAATATCGACTCGACTCATGTCAAAGCTACTACTCATCAGTGACCGACGATTCGAATGCTAACGCAAGACTAACTTGCACAGTTTAGATTTGTAGCCTCCGTCCGCATCATTGCACAAGTGGGAGAGTCAGACTGACCAAGAAAAACTGAGAGAGAAGGAATCAGCTTCGACGCATGAGCTTCGATCCTCATAACACACATCATATTCCGTTGCGCAGTCGGTGGAAGGTCACTGATCCAGACCACCACCCCCCTGCGCTCGCAAAAGCTCAACTACGGCATCATCTCACAGACTTAATCAGTTAATCAGCCCTTCCCCGCCAGTTAGTTACAAAAATCTACGCTTCCCCTCTCGAACTATTCGCAATCTCATGCAACGCAGTGATGAACGGAAACTTCATCGCCAGGACGAACGCCGCTGGGAGGGAGAGCATTGATCAGCAACGCTTGCTTGCGGCAACCAACGCAACCTCGTCTTCCTCCCTCCGCATTTAACGCAGCCGATCCCCACGTCTCCTCTACAAGTGAACGACAATTCTGGGCAGATGTCATCATTCGTCCATGAACTCGACATTCATCCAATTCCCTTTGAGTAGAAGGGCGGACGACCTAAAGTGAGGGATAGAATGCTTGCCACGTCGGCTTACACGCGTTTAGAGCGCCAGCGCTGGAAGCCGTCGTTGGGGTTAAATACTTGGCCCAGATTGCATCCCTTCCCAAGATGCATCCCCGCCACTCGCTACCATGTGGCTGTCGTTGCTTCAGCCTCTGTGGCCGTCGATCTTCACTCACTGACAAGTGCTTAGGCCGAGTTCTAGGACTCCCCTCCTCCCGCATGGGACATACATGGGAACTTCGTTCCCATGTTCCCATGTTCCCCTGGCCCAGCTATTCCGTTAATACAAATTATATATTTATATTCATATACATATTCGTTCAGGTGGAATCGAAATGGCGAACGACATCTTCCACAGTCAGTGTTGGTTGGCATGCAACTGTTGTTTGTCCGTTCCCTTTCCTTTCCTTTCCTTTCCTTCCTTTCCTCGACCCATTTGTTCAAGCCACGTTCAATGATATGTTTTTTATGATTTGGAGGTGATGCAATCCCCTCAATGATTATTTTACACATGTGTGTGACTGTGTACCCACTTCTCTCTTTGTGAATTAGTAATACCCTCTTGGATGGTTATGAAACTAAAAAGAATAGTTGAATTCAAATGTATGTTTTCTGATTTACATAAGATGCTTGGCAGATCATACATCTACAATTTAATCCTCTGTTGACCCCTGTCATTCAAACCAAGTGCATTCAAAAAGTGATGGATTTCTTTTGTCCTGGAACCAAATTAAAATCACAAATAGAGGTCTTGACAGATAAGATTGGGATATGCAATTTGAGATAGTATGAACTGTAATGGTAAAACATTTGTCTTTTAAATCAGCTAGATCATTTTATAGATGAGGATATGAATTCTTTAGGGGACTTGGTTTTATTTTTATTAGTGTTACATACAATTTTTCCAGTGTATAAAAATTGTACATAAATGGAACAAAGGATTAAGTCTACAAACAACGATTTATAACAATTGAAAAAGAAAAGAAAAGAAAAGAAAAAGTGAAGAAGTCGGCTTGATAGTATAAGACAAACCTTATTTTTTATATCATGATGCATATATGTTCAGGATTTTGAATTGATAAGCTATTTGAATAAATCTTGCTCACTAAAATAAGATAGAAGACAACAATAATTTACATGGTTCAAAAGATATTTAATTATGGTACCAATTTTTACAACATATGATTTTTATTTTATTTTTTCTGCAAGAGTTAAAATTATAATATATAAAAAAAATAATGCATTGGTGTGTATATATATACCTCTACGTGGATACATACTCTATTCTTTCCATTTTTATACATGGCATGAATAATTGAGTCTCTGTTTTATCATTAGCTACATTTGAAATCAAGTTTGACTCAAGTAGTATATATTCAAAGTTACTGGCAATTGGAACACTTTTACTGAAAATCATTTCCTTTATATATTGATTTTTTCTAATGTTTAAAATAACTTCACTTGAATAAAAGCAGACACGACGTTTACCTTAAAAAAAATCATGACAATATATAATAACAGTAGTATATATTCAAAGTTAATGTTTTAATTATTTTATAAAATAATACACTGCATTGATATTGAAGTGGTTGTATGTTACAGTTTATAAAGCAACACCATCTTTATGTTCAATATTTAATGCTCTGACGGTGTTTTCGTTATTTTAAGAAATCTTCTCCGACAAAATAATTGTAAAGAATTTCACCTATATGTTTTTTTTAATAAAATGTTAAAATTTTAATCCAACTAAATACTCTTGATTTTACCTTCATTCAAGAATATCAGTTGCAGTTTCATCTCTGTGTTTTACATTTGTTGGAAATGCTAAAAATAAAAACAAGAACTAAAACACACAACATTTCATTAACATGATCATTATGTTTTTTTTCGTATAAAATTAAAAATACATGAAAAGTAAAATCCTTAAGACTATGGCATTTATGAATTTAATTGTATTATTTTATATTGAATGTATAGAATTGTACACACTGACTGTACACATGTTACTTGTGTGAAATACTGATGAAATATTTATCCCTCAATTGCACAGATAAACTACACAAATATGGTATTAATCTTTTTACATCATTAGATTTGTCTACTAAACTTTTATTGTAACATTTTATATTTTATATATATTCATATTTTTGGTCATAGTATCATCCAATTGTTTGTGAACATCAACATGTAAATGAACCCCAATTTCTATCATGAATTTAGATTTTTGATACTTAAAAGTATTTAATAACCAAGTTTTTGAATCTTTTTCAAATTTTAACATCTCAATAATTTTTATACATGCATATGTAGGCATATATATATATACACATACATCAATACCAATTCCTAATTTTTGAATACATGTGATTGTATTTGAATCTTAGATATTTCACATTTGCAAGCACTTTCATATAATCTGATCAAGTATTATGTGTTGTCCTAAATACTTGTTTGGTGTGAAGTTTCCTATTCACATTGCTCAGGTCAACACAAACATCCTAAAACATGGGCAGACATGCATACAGAATTCTGGGGCATTAGAATTCTATCAAGCAAAGTTGAAAATTTTACAAGTTAGGCGTTGCTTGTATAATGAAATATTTAGAAACTTTGATAAATTATAGGGGTGCTATAATAGATTTATGAGTAATATATAAAATACAGTAATAGAAAATATCATAATAATAATTAGAAATAGGGGGCATGAATTGGGGGGGAGTGGATCATTTCATTGGAAGGGAGATGACCAACAAATCCAGAGAGCCTCATGACCTTCCACGAAAAAGGTTACTAGACCCCCCCCAAAAGGAAATACGAAAACTCTACAAAAGAGGGAAGGCGAGAGGGTGTGGGGAGGGAAATATAGATGAATGATTAGAACGAATGTCATCCGCATCCACCACTGTATTGGGAGACGGAGAAAAGGGGGAGGGACGGGACCTGGACCTATGACATCCATGGCCATGGGGCCCCTCAAGAGACCAGAGGATTATCTCCTTTTTCCTAACTGCCCATGTGAATAGGACCCATGACCAACCCTTCCGTATGTCTATCCAGCGCCATGTCAGCCTACCCCCCCCCCTACGCCCAAAAGCCATATCTCTGACCACCATGAAAAGGAAAAGATAAACCAGCGGAAGAAGAAAATAAAAAAATAAAAAAAAAGAAAAAGCAATAGATAGGGAAAGAGGCGGGAGCTGCATGCAATGTCTCGGTGTGACACCTGGATGCCCTGCTGGCCACCCAAAATTCTCATGGCCACGAATCTCCCCTCTCTTCCACCTTCCGCGCTCCCTCCCTCTCTCCTTTCTTTTTCTTTCTTTCTCTTTATTCTCTTCTTCCTTTTTTGTCCTCTCTTCGCCTTATTCATTCATTTGCTATCTAGGAAATTATTCCTTCTGCAAATGCTCCCTCACATCCTTCTTATTTGTGTGCAATTCTTTTGGTGGTCTTTGCAACAAATGCTGTCTCAAAGTGGAATGCATCTTGTGCACAAGGGTGAGTAAGCACCAGAATTGATCAACAGGAATTGGTTCCAGTATCAAAATTTGAACTTGATGGCTGGAACTCATAATCACAATGGCTTTTTCTGAGCATCCAATGGCTGTGAGTTCCCAAGTCTCCAATCTACAAAAGTGGGTGAAATGGAGGGGCAGGATCTGGTAAAGAGCAAAAGCTACAAAGGAGAAAGGCAGGGAGAGGGAGGAGGAAAAGGGAAGAAGGGGAAAAAGCTATTCTTGTAGAGCCATGAGAAGACACACATGTGAAGAGCCTTAATCCCCATTATGTTCAGCAGGTGTGATGTGCCTACTCTCTCTCACATACAATGGCTGAAGGAAATGAGAATGGGATGAGAGTGGGAAATATAGTCTGTTGCCTACCTTCTCAGGCAATCATCCTTATATCATTTGAAATTAATTTTACTTCTTTTGTGGGTGTGCAAATGGCCATGAATTACAGGGTACTCACCCATTAGATTCAATGGCAGTATCCCACATGGCAACTACAGCTACCCCACAACCTTAAATGTTTCATTACCAAGAAAAACTTTAACTAACTCACAGGGTTGTCTCTGAAAGATAACTTTCACATACTCTGGCATTCTCATCCTCCTCCTGCCTGCCTGCCTGCCTGCCTACTCTGAGGGGATTGGGGAGGGGGTATCCATTTATATATTTTTATGTGCAGTACCCCACACTTAACCTCTTTTTAAAGTATATATCTCAAGGTGAGGGGAGAACAGGAGCTGCAGCAAGCCTGCTATGGACAAGTGTAGAGATGAGAGGAGGTTTTGGAGCATGGATCAGCATGGAAGCCTCCAGGCCACAAAGTTCCAGACACAAATATCATTTTTCTTAGACACCTTGAAGAAAGAATAAGCACATTACATTACAAGAAGACACCTGGGTGCTTATTGCCAGCACTGTCTACCCCTCCTACCCTTCAGTTCATTCTAATGGTACGCTTGTCATGAGCTTCACACAGGATCCTAATGCGCTTCACAAATTATTTGGACACTTACAATAATATTAGTATTTTCAATATTATTAGTACTTCTAATAACTGTGTTGTAGAAACAAGATCCAGTTATTTCACTACTTGACATTTCACTCCACCTCAAACATGTACAGTGTGTTCACCTGGGTCTCATCAACCTAGTTTCTGTTGTGAAGCATCCATTCTGTCCAAGGTGAGTCTTTCAATGTGGGGGGGGGATGTCAGAGATGGCTCCACCGAGGGGGGATAAGATGCAAAGGGCTGCAGGTGGGCTCTTTCCGAGGTGCAGGAACTAAGGAATGGTTGGACGAGAGAGGATTATGATGATGCTGATGAGGACGGAAGCTGCTCCTCCAGTGTGGAGCTCACAGTCCAGAGTCCAATAGAGAGAGGTAGGGGACGGAGGAAGAGGGAGAGGGGGGGGGGGAGAAGACCTCTCCTTCGGAGATGAGATCAATCGTTGAGTGGAGAACTGGGGAAGCTGAGCTGGGGACCAATGGGAACATGGGAGAGCGAGCAGCGGCGTGGACAGGATATTTATCGTCCAACCTTCTCAATCGTGCGAGGCCTGTACCGATGGATAATTAAAGGGCAGAGCTGAGCTGAAACGAACTCCAGCGCATGCCCCAAAAGGCGAGCAGCAAAAAGGTTACAAGTTCCCAGCCACAAGCCCACCGAATGGAGGAGATTTGAGAGCAGGTCGCGGCAGGGCAGGGCAGCCATTCCCCAGCACAAGGGCAGTCAAAACATTTGAGCCAGAAACTCCGGATAATCGTGTTCTTGGCTGCCGGCCTTCCCGGGCGGAGCAGAGCAGTGCAGAGATGAGCTACAAGCACATCCGCCTCTAGACCCCCCCCCAACCAACATTACCAACTTTAGCCACAAAGATCTCCGATGCTGCCCGTCAATCCAGCGTAGTGATTTTACCTCGCTGCCAGAAACTCTCTTCCCTCCGATGAAAAAACCCATTGCACCAATTGCAATTCCCCGATTTTTTTCCCTTCGATCCCGAGAGGCTTGAATTTACAGGATTTTGTGCACAGCGTCAGCATGTGTCGGGTAGGGAAAGTTTTATTTTCTTTAATTATTTTCTGAAACGTTTTCTTCTCAGCGCTCGCATCCTACAACACAGTAAAAAATGTAATAGATATTGATCACTGCCAAATAGAAAGCCATAATTAAAATAATAATAAGAAGAAGATACTCTCCAATATACACCCTGCTGATGCCTAAGTGAAAAAAATATAAATACAAATAAAAATACTAGTGCAATAAAATTATAGCCAAATTCGCAAAAAAAAAAAAAAAACAGCTTCATTAGTTGGACTCTGTACATACTCTTGGTATTGGGTGTGCCATATCTCACTGATGCCATAATTGGGCTTCTTCACATGAAGAGTGGAATTAGATTGCAGTAGCTCGGGTGGCATGAAGATTGTCCTCCAAAATGCATGAAGCAACAGAGAGGCACAAGTCCATTTGCCCTAGTTTTCTACCTTCAATACATTTACATATTATATAAAATGAACCAATTCCCTTTCTGCAAATGAGGAGGTGGATGTTATAGTTCTGCCGATTAATTAGTACTGAAATTCCACCTTTATCTTTATCTTATAAACATTATAAAACTGAAAAATCCACGAAGAAACTCATAAACAAAATTTAACTGCTCTGTAAGCAACATGTAATTCTCAATTGAAATCACAGCTTAAATGACAATTTTTTCCAAAAGCAATACAGAAAAAGATTCAATAGTATTTTGGTGGATACATAGTACTCAGTAAGGATGTGTTGATATTATTTGGAATAGATATAGAGATCATCTATTGAAAAAGGTGTATGCAAGTGGAATACATACACTACAGTACAGAGCTGATGCCCACGTTGGAGGATATAAAACGCTGAATACAAGTGAGGGACGTGCCCGTTCGTTGGTTTTGCCCGCAGTGTAAATGTCCTCCGAAAGAATCATCCACGACGGACGCAGATAGTAAAGGCCAACCGAGGTGTTCTTCATCTGTCCAAGTCCAAAGCACTTTCCACATGCGTTTCTGGCCCCTGTAAGGCCGGGGGTGGGGTCGCAAAGCCCTCGTGAAGTGCGAACTTTAACAAACTTCATGCGATGCTCATTGGCTACACACCGCTCTGCCCACGTGGGCTTTGGTAATTTGTCTCACGATCGTGACTTCGACGCTCCTGTTGGTTTTGGGTTCGCTGCCATTTACTCTGGTCTGCCCTCATTTTGTAATTTCACTCCTATTAGGGCTTGTCAACGTACATTGTCAACCGTTTTACGCCAAATTAAGTATCGACGTCCGCAATGCTCATCCGCTTCCAGCTCACTCCATTGGTTTGCCCTTAAGCAGAATATAGTTTTGGGCTCATAAGGGGGGTTTCCTTCTGGATGTCAATACGAAGGGTGCATAGTCCAATACCAGCATAATTAATGTGGTGATGCTGTTGTTGAATTTGTGCCTCCAACCTAATCTCGCATTGTCAACAACTCGTTGAAATCGAAGTGGAAATTTACCCGAGTTTGTGGCAGAGATTATTTACAGTTCACAAGGGTTTGATCTCGGGGTTCCAAGAAAGTAGGGCGTTGATTATGGAAAGGCAAATGCTGGTTAAGGTGTCTCCGCCGGCGATGACCTGCAAGAGCATGATCGATTGTCTGCCAAGAGCAGCTAAGCATGAGCAATTCAGCATTCTGGAACCAGGGCCACAAGTTTCAAGCGCAGCAGGTAACAACCTTATTTAATTTCGAATAATGAGGTTAGCTGGCGGAGGGATGAGAAGCGCTGTGGGGGTCAATGTAAGCGCTCTATCCCCCTCCCGAATTGGAAAACGAATCCCCGAAGGTCGATCGGGGACGATTGAACGGATTGTCGAGGGTTTGAACGGGAAGGGTGGGGATGGGGTGAAACAGGCCCAAGAGACCTTGGACCGTTCGTTACCGCTCGCTAGCTTACTCGCTTTCTTCTTGTGAGATCGAACCCTGAATTCGCCGGAACGCTTTAGGGATGTCCCGGTAGGAGCTTTTTCATTCGTGCGGAGTCCGCTGGAGGGGCTTTATCATCCTGGGACGAGAAAAGCCCATCCACGTGGGTCTGGGTCCCTGAAGTGCTCGCTTCCCAGCCTCTATTCCTCCCTCGCTTCGCTTTTGTTGCATCTCACTCAGCACTCGCAGATCGCGCACTGAGCGCCTGCCTCCCCTGTAGTGTCTCCTCTCGATCTTCCCTTTCCCTTGCCTTGTCTTCGTTCTTTCCTGCTCTCTTTCGATTTCTCTATTGCATCCTGGCGTTGGGTGCACTGCTAGTTTGACGGTGTTCTCCTATCGTTTGCGCCGCAGTTTGGGTTGTGCGAACGGTTGGTCGAGTGTAAGCCAGAGTTGGAGGGTTTCTGAAGTTTTTGGGTTAACCAGGTTTGTTGTGATAGAAGAGTTGCCGTTGCTATCGTGTGTGGCGTAGTAAGTTTTGGTTAGAGAAGTGGAGATTTGAGAGATTTTTGAGAGCTTTTTTTTGCACGGCGCTCAATTAGACGGGTTTGCTCTGTCCAACTTGCTAACTTGCAACTGGATCTGTGTGTGGGCATTCCGCTACAATCTGCTACGTTTTGAGTGACTTTCCTGCAATCGCCGAGTTTATGTTTGTGTGGTGTTTCGGAGATGAGCTGTTGAAGATACTTTACTTGCACACAAGCCTGTTCTTCGCATTTCTTCGTCACCGTCGTCATTTGCTGTCTAACACTACTATCGAAGCATCTGTCTTGCTTGTCTACTACAACTTTATTTGCGTCGTCTGCTCCGAGTCGTCGGCCAGACTTTTTTAGAGAGCATTTGGGAACAGCCGTCCTCACCATTCAAGTTTTGATTTTGAGGGGTGTTTCTACGGAAGACGGTAGTGGAAGCGGAGGTATCACAGCGGGTGGACGTTTCCCAGATCTCTGGATGGGGCTTTGGGTGCAGGTAGTGCAACGGGGAATGATTTCAGTCACCATCCATAACAGCGAACGTTTCACACAAGGCGGTGGGAGAAATAGAATTCATGGGTGTGAATGAGAGATAGTGGGCGAAGATTTCAGAGATGAGCGACAACCAGTTTCAGGTTTGAAGGTAGTTTTTCAGGTTTTATATTCTATTGCAGAGCTTGACTTTTGCTTTGACCGATGGTACAAAGGAAAAAGTTGTTGCTCTCCTTAAGATTGGGTTAGGATTTCAGTGTGGTTACGGAACACCAAGGACTAAAGTTATGATCCCGATGACACCCAGTTCTTCTGCTGCTGGCTACCGTGAGCACGAAGGCGCAGGCGAAGAAGGCACCTATTGGCCATCCGTGTCGCCTGGCGTTCCGCTCTCTACCTCGGGAGATGAAGGTGCAAGTACCAAGGTGCGGAAGCCCTACACGATAACCAAACAGAGAGAGAGGTGGACCGAGGAGGAACACCAAAAGTTTTTAGAGGCACTGAAGCTCTATGGGCGCGCTTGGCGCAGGATTGAAGAACACATTGGCACGAAGACCGCCGTGCAGATTCGGTCTCATGCTCAGAAGTTTTTCTCCAAAATAGAAAGGGACGTGACTGCGGGGCAAGGGACCGAAACAGGGGTAGCACAGGTGATAGATATTCCCCCACCTCGTCCCAAGAGGAAGCCCACTCACCCGTATCCTCGCAAAGCTGGTCGCAGCTTTGGTAAAACATCTGAGGACGAGTGCCCTTTGGCAGCTGCAGGTTCGATTGTTTCTTCTTCCGGTGTTTCCACTGCGAATATTTCAGAAGCTTGTTTAAAGGAAGGCGTGTGGGATCAAGATGATACTGGAGTGGCTGGTCATCAAGATGCTGCCAAAGCAAAGAAAGACGCCGATACCGCTCATTCTTGGGGCGTCCCAAAGACGGTCAATTCCGCCACTTCAGGTTCACCAACGGCTCGGCCTGTCAATGTGGCTCTAAATGGTGGACTGCCGCTTAACAACATTTCGCCGGTTCCAATTCCAGGTTTCCCAGCCATGCCGCCGTGGAATCGGCTTTTCGGTGGAGCGATGAACCCGGCCATGATGAATCCTGCGATGTTGAATTCTGCGATGATGAACCCGCAGGGTATGCTTATGCCTTGGGCTACAGCGCCCAACGTTCAAGGTCTTGAGAATGGAGGTGCGGTCTCAGCCATGGCGGCCACAATCGCAGCCGCTTCTGCCTGGTGGGCTATGCAAGGAGGTATGCCGCCTGGTGTGATGCATCCAGCTTTGGGTGCCATGTATTTAGGGGCAGCACCTCCTCTTGCCATTCCCACACCATACATTTTTTCTCAATGCGTACCCCAAGAGATCACTGTGGCTGCAGCTCCATGTGCTGATGGCAATGAAGTTCCGACAGCACAGGTTGTGGATGATGGCCAGGAAGTCTTAAGCAACAATAATCACTCGAGATCGAGTGCCATGCGGAGGGCGGAGCGAGCACAGCGGGTGAAAGAGCTCAAGGCTCGGCGAATGGGCTCGGGAAATCATTTGTTGTCTGTTTCGTCTGATATTTGTGCTTCCACTTCAGGAGGAAGCGGAACGAATCTCACCACCCAGTTAACCGCTGGTGGACTGACTTCGGAAAGTGCCGTGAATTCTCTCTCCAAAGGGAGCTCTCTTCCCGCAGATCTGAGCAAGGTGAAGCATGTTCTAAATGGCCTAATTCGGAAGGACAGGGAAGCGCCTGTGGATGGTTGCTCTGCAGATGACGGAGTCGACAATCGGAAGCGACTTCGAGGAAGTAGACCCTCAGATGATACGGCAATGCCCGATGGGGAAGGATATCATTCCACATCTGGTCTAGGTCGTGAAGCTCCAGGAAGCATGGATTCTCATTTAGAGAAGGTTCGGTCCGTCAGCGGCTCGAATTCTATACCCGGGAAGTTTACCAAGGTTGACGTTGAAAGGCTTGCTTGTGATGAGAAAACTGCTCCTACCCAGGCTTCATGTGGGAGTGACGTTAGTGAAGGTGCAGGTGTTGCTCCGATCGATGGTGATGGTGATGGTGATGCATCTGGAGGAGGTCCAAGCTCCAATTCATCAGCATGTGGGAATGTTCCCGGAGGTAATGAGAGGTCAGGATCAAGTGATGGATCGTCAGAAGGAGAAGCAACCTGCAATGTTGATAGACAACGAGAAGCAGGGAAGAACGGGACGAGTTCGTCTGATCCTGAAGCTGAGGAAGAGGCAGATGAGAAAGTTGGGAGAGCTGCCGAGCAATTCACGTTCAACGAATTTCTCCCGGTTAGTAAAGATGGGGATAAACACGAGAAACCTGAGACTTCATCGAGGCTGCCAAGAACAGTGTCAATCGATGGGGAGCAGAGGAAAGAAGTCACCGAAAGGGGCCAGATCGCCTTTCAGGCTCTATTTAAACGAGACACTCTACCTCGGACATTTTCCCCTCCTCCAGGCCTGGCTCTTGGTACAGGAACAAAAGAGGCTGCTAAACAGCAACCATCTGTGTCTACCATGAGCAGAAGCCTGAGCGCTAACGCGATTACATGCGATAGCTTGGAGCTACGGACTTCACAACGGAATCATAAAGACCAAGATAGTGCTTTCAATACATGGAATCATTTGAGAGGTACTTCCAGCGCCTCAAAGGTAGACCGGTGTGAAAGCGGCATATCTATTCCATCCTCGAGACCAACAAAAAGTTTAGAGGATCTTCGGTCTTCTGAGCGCCGACGAGGCAGTCGGAAGGGGCGGTCGCACACTGGAGCCAACAACTGGCTCCAATTGTGGACGGATACATCGTCTCTTGACAAAGATGAGGATGCAGACGAAGATGACGAGGAAGACGAGAGTGCCGACTCGGGAGCAGATGACGGTTGCAAGAAGCAACAACAAAAAGCAAGCTTTGTTTGCAAGCTTGATATGTCGATTTCAAATCAGGAGGTAGAACTCATTTCTGATGTAGAAGGTACGGGTGCTAGCAGCCTTAATATTAGTTCGACAGTTAGAAGTCAAACATTGTTCTTGTCTGTAGGTACAGGTGGTTTGAAGAACGCTGTTTCGAATGTGCCCACAAGAACTGTGAAATACAGTGGCGTGGGATTTGTTCCATATCAAAGAGCTTCCACCCGCACGGAGCCTCTTGTAGATAAGCTTTGATGATTGATGGAGGCTTCTTTCCATCTTCAATTTAATTCAACACCTTATTTCTTTTCGTGACATACAAAAGTCACATTCCACCACTTTCCCACATGCGTTTGCACATGCCTGACATCAACTTGTCCATTTTACCACGCCTGTATTTTGCTCTACGAGCTCGTTCCAGGTGTTCGCCTCTCCTTCAGGAGGAGGAGCTCAAATCTTTTTCAGATTTTCCCACAATCTATCTACTCAGTCTGTACTCATTATAGTGCTTTCCTTCCACTTGTTCCCCAATCGACATTATTGTGCGTTTGCCTCACACGATCTTGTGTTATGACATGGAGGCAATTTCTACAGATTTGGTTCTGATCACCATTTTGTGTGAGGATTGTGTGAGATTTATCGTGATGATTGCGAGTGACCAATGAATGTTCTGTGCAGAAGCCGAATTTGTTGATGTGACGGAAAGTGAAAGCGACCTTGAAATCGGAGGGAATGTACTTTCATGCCGTTTTCAGCCCAGTTCTGACCAACCAGAACTAGTTCTGGCGTCGTGGAGGTACGTCGTCTTCGGTTGTAGTTTGTAGGTCGCTTGTCATATTCCTATGAATTGAGATTCTAATTGCTCTTGAAGGCATGTGATAGGCACCTCAGTTGCTCTGAGCGAGAGAGAGAGAGAACGAACCTTGCCATGTGCTCGGTGGTGGTTCACCTTGTCCACGCTAATTGCGAAAAGAGACTTGATGACGACAATTAGCTTCTTGTCCTGTTTCTTCATATTCTTATTGCATGATGGATGCTGCAGTGAGTCGGTTCTTCCTGTTCAATACTGTTATGCACTTCTATGCCCTTGAGCACAGTTTGCAACAAAAGTAAGGTCTAGCGCTGAAAATAGCCACTCAGAAACTAGACAAGCGATGCATAAAATGATCAATATTGTTATGCATAAAAAGGTCAGAGCAGCTGCCAGCTTTCTATTCGGCACATTAATTAATTTCTTCGTAACCTGAACGCGGGAAGCTAAGATCACCAGCAAAAAAAAGTTCCGAGACTGTAGCTGATATCATGATGAATTTGTGAAATGTCATGTAAGCGGCTAATGTAGAAGAATGACACCGAGGTAATCCAATCATAAGCGTCGTGCCTAATTTACTGTGAAGCTATGCTGACAGAAGACCTAAACCTGATGGTGATATATCAACAATTTCTACGTTTCACTCAGCAAGCAGCATTCACCTTCTTCAAGTGAGTGAAAGAGGTATACGCCTTCAATGTACCCTCAGATATCACAATCAACTATTAATTCCTTCACATGACTTATCGTTTCCAGATTCCAAATTTCTATACATATGCGGCAACTTGGTGCCATGCATGCTTGACTTATTCCTCGTCAATTTGTGATCAATTCCCTGTCAGCCAGCCTGAAATGCCCTCGACTTCAGTAGGCCATTCACTGTATCTGATGTCTCACCTGCGTTTGTTCTTTGTTGAAGGTCAAACCACTGAAAGCATCTAGAAAGTGCGCACTGTAACTCACAAGAGTCGCTCTTCTACATCGAAGTGGAAGAGCTTGCATTGTCTTCCTGCACCTGGGAAGAAGGTTATGATTGATCCTTAGAACTGTGAGCTTCCTGGGCTTTTCAGTTCACGACGTTGAGCTTCGATGGCCATCCAGTCCTACACATGGCTCCTGGCCAACTGGATCAAATAAATGCCATGGGAACCAAAACCCTAAATTCGGTTTCACTTGAAAAAGAAGTCCTGTTAATTACCTGCCGTCGGTTCCAGTAGCTCAAAGGGACGTCAGCTGTTGCAGAATTCACAGCTCCGGCTCACTATAGATCAAAAAGTTGCCGTCGTCTTGTAGCTACGCCTAATATTTTGCGGGTTTACTGTAGATGTGGGTGAAGGCCTGGAATTCGACAATGTGTGCCATGTAGACGATCACAAGATCGCCATCATCCTACACAATTGCGTAGCAGTTGGCTCCTTGGCCGAACGTGTTGGTCACCCATGACGGCAGCCGGCTCTTCGCAAAATCGTACAACACAAGGTTGCAGTCGTTCTGCATAGCAAGCAGATACCTGTCATTCTTGCTCCGAAGGGCGAATCCTACCGGAAACTGACCTAGTGCCACTACTATGCTCTGTGCCTCTTGAACCCCATCCGCAGCGCATGGAATGGAGGTTAGTGTCATCACAAAGTTCAAGAGGTTGAGTAAGCGGCTTTTGAAAATGTACATCTCCATTCCTTATAAAACAGGTAGTTATTCTACTTATGTGCTCGATTCATGTTTTAGGTGTGCGTTATTTTACAAGCCACTCTTAATTCATCTTCTTCATCATCACCAGGTATTGCGCATGAAAAAGGCAGCTGCGACACGCATTTGTACCCTGTTCGCTCCACCAGTCATCTGCTGCTAAGTTACAGGATTGAGTATCGTAGGCAATCCAGAAACCGTGTTAAAATTCAAACCACTTTCCTTTGTTGCTAACAATCTTTCGTCGCATATTGTTGACTAAAGGTAGTGCTGGCGAGTTGGTTTGCACGTCACTTATGTGTTACGTATGTATGGCGTGCTATTCGTAGAACGCCCGATCAGGACTGCAATTGAAGCGATGAGTGAAAAATGTACCTTGTTTTAGAATTCAAATATGGCTTCCTAGTTACGACGGTGACAATTGTGAATCCATGAAGCGATCGTAGCTAATGGTCGTGTTCCATGCCATGGGCGTCGAAGAACCACACGGCAGAGATGTCAGAATGGCGTAATGCTCGGCAAAAGTCCACGAGCTGCAGACGGCTAGCGTTGGAAGTGTAACACTCGTATTCCTTCGTCCTTTAGCTCGTGTTCATGGCTGTCAAAAGAGGCGCACTATGTCACTCCTTCTCGCGCGTGTTGTTGACCTACGAAACTCAAATATCCCTGTGAGCTGAACCAACTCGAAATCTTAAACATGGGGGCGGAGCATAAGCACACACATTTTACATGATTTTAAGGTTTTATTGACTAACATGCGATGCTCGACATGCGTAAAGTACATGTTTCAGAGGAGGGAGATGCAACAGACTGTCACCACTAAGCACATGCAGATACTTGGCGACGGCCCGTCCTAAAATTTCTGCCAGCGATTTTTAAATTTTCGTCACCGATGCACCGCCAACTCGTTCGAAGGGTGTCTCTGTTGGAATAAATACGCACAGGGTTTCCAGCCCGATACCGCACTCGGGGCCACATGGATATCCGCCAGCTTCGAACATCAGTTATGTAATAGTGTCACCAAAATTAGAAGCTCATTTGTATAGTCTATAAAGTTTATACAGTGAGAGTGAGGTTTTTGTGAAAGATCGATTTGAGTCTATCAGGTCATTTGAGATCATGTATAAATTCAACACACATGATACTAGAGCACAATTTAGAGTCATTTACAAGAGTCAAGTTTATTTAGTAGAGAGCAGAATATAAATATTATATCAAGTAATTTACTTGTTAAAAGAATGCAATAGAAACAATCATCTACAATGTGGAAAGGCCAACTAGCTGATTGATAAAGATAACTTTTATTTCTTGAGTTTGAAGATGAAAAACGTTTTTACAAGCAATTTTTTTTGTGGGAGCTTACTACAATAAAGCTAATACTTGCATCATATCCATATACATACAATGGGTGCACATTGGCAGAGAATCAGTTTTTCCATATAAAAGAAAAAAGTAATGAAGATTCTAACTTTTGCTATGAAAGACTACCTTATAGATTTGATAACTAAATACAAGAATCCAACAAACACTTTGAGAACATTAAAGGATGAATATGAGAGCAAAGATCCTACTATGGTCTTAAACTTCAATTATAAACTTTCAACATTGAAGTTTCAAAACTTTACTTCAATAAAAGAGCCCTTGAGGATGGCTCACAAAATTAAAAATCAATTGGCTATACGTGGTGAAATTGTTCTTGCCAAAATCCTTGTATAAACAATTTTCAATAGATTAACTTCTTCTTTGGACAGTCTAATATACAGCCTCATAGCCACTGATCAACTTTTTAGCTTTGAAAAATTATTATTTAGATTGATAGTTGAGACACACAAACTATAACTTAAAGCAAATACTAAGAATGAATCCTTAACAATATAAGTATTTGGAACTTAAGAAATATAAGAGATAGAAGGAGGTATTCATCTTGTAGAAATAAGTGTCATTTTTTTGAGAGGCTGAGATATTGTTAGAGCTCTTCATGCTAATAGAAACATATGCCTAATGTATTGCTACTTTTGTGATAAAACAAACTACATGGCAAAGAATTGCAAATTCAAGAAGTTGCTGCCAAACCTCAATAAGCCAATAACAAGCATCATAGAGGCTCATGATGATTCTTCCAACTATGATTACGACAATTCTAATATACAAAAGTCAAAGATTAATCTTATTAATATTAATACAATAAGAAATAAGAATTGCAATTAGTATATTGAGATTGGATCTTTTCAATATGTGATAAGTAATAGACTAGAATTACACTTGTTCAAACCTATAAGTTACTTTTATAGATTTAAAGTAGCAAGTAGTGAATTATGTTCTACTTTTAGGTAAGAAGAGATCCATATTAAAATTAATAATAGGGACTCTAAGAAAGTAAATAATGCTCAATTTGTATCTTCTTTGAAGAAAAGCTTGTTATTAATGGACTTCCTTGCAAATGAAGGAAACTTGGTGATCTTCTTGATAGATAAGTGATAGATAATTGATCAAAAAAAGAAGTGCAATGTGATCACCACCACGCCATGCAAATCTATGAATAGACTTTATTGTATAAATTAATCATTTGCTAAAGTTAACACATTTGTGGTAGAGCACACTAAGCTATGGAATAGTTGACTTAGACATCTCAACTATTTTAGCGTAAGACAATTCTATATGAATCAAAGACATCTAGTTAGAGCAACATCTAAAAAAGTTTGTAAAGCATATTATGCGCACCATGTGAGTCATTGAATATTTAGTATAAAATATATACTTATGGTGCTTAAAATCATAGATTTTGTGAGTTGGTAGTAGAATTTTTAGGAGAAATAGAAAATAGATTGCTAATAGCGGATAT